CAGCCGCAGCCGAGCGCACGGCTGGCCAGCCCCGAATGACGTGCGCCCGATGTTCACCAGCAATTAGGCGTGGAGCCGTAAGAACAAAGTCACAGCAAGGACTTTGTTATCGCGCTTTCCTGCACGCAGCGATGTGTACACAGGAATGGGCTTCGTTTCACCCCAGCCTCTGATCGCCGGGTACGGAGCCGCTGGTTCGGCTTCAACCTTTACCCCCCGGCTCTTCAACCCCAGGGCTCTCCCAGGGACAGCACGGCAGCCAGCCTCGCCTGCCCACGCGCACGGTGCCATGCCACCGCTGCCGGCGACACGTGGCAGATCCCTCGGGGCTCTTCCCCAAATAGGTGTCTCGCAGCCAGCATCTCCGATCGCACCCGGGCTCAGCCGAGGACACCCACAGCCGCCTTGCTTCCCCTGCAGCACCTAATTATACCCGGCGGTGAGGAGGCAGGGAAACAAACGCCTGACACCCATCCGTCTGCGTGCTGTTACACATCTGCTCTGCTTCACCCTAGAGCAACACCTGCGAGAGATTCAGTCCCCGAGGCCTTCGAGAAGCACTTCAGCACTTAAGACAGATGCAAAATATAGACCTGTGAAAATCCCTGTTCGAGCTTGCCGGCTTGCATAGGAAAGCACATGTAGGTGGTGACGATCTGACGCCGACTCCGAGAAGCACGCTTGTATCGCCCAAATTCCCCGAGCTCTTCTGTTCCTAAGGCATCCATGTCCAGATTAATCAGTTCAGTCGCTGCTTTCTCTCCACAAAGTCAGCTACTCGATTCGTAGTTAGAACAACTGCTCTGATAAACAGTTAAAAAAAATTTTTTTTAAATGTTCTCAAGTCACTGCAAGCAGGAGAAGCCGAGAAACCCCAAGTTCTTGTTGGCCCAGCTCAGCTCTGGTGTAAGTCAATCCCCCTGCAAGCTCTGGGAAGTCACCCAGGGGCTCTGGCTGCCAGGAGACCCCTGCTCCCCCCAGGCTCTACCCCATCCTCGCTGGACGAGGACATTTTACAAGCACAGGCAGTCCAGCACCTTCAAAACACATCAATTATTTTTTCCCCTGTACAGTGGCTTCTGGTCACTCCTCCTCTGTGCCGTGCCAGCAGCCGCTCCATCCACGCCCGTCTGTTCTGCGCTCAGGGAACGCTTCTCAGCCTCTTTCCTTCAACATTTTCCCCAAATCTACAAATTCTTCCAGCAAACAAGCTAAAGCCTTCTCAGCCCCAAACCCTAAGGAAATCCTGCTGGCATTTCAGAGAGAAGAGGGCTTCCTCCCTAGCTGTCCTCCAAAGCCAAAAGCAACTGCCACGTAAGCTGTCCTCGGAGGTGCCAGAATCCACAGCATCGGACACAGTTTCCCCTCAATAACAGGGACTGAGCTTCACCAGATTCCCCAGAGCTTAAAGCTCCTGAAATAACTTTAAGGGGGGCCAGGACGTGACAGATGACAGATGGAACGTTCGGACAGAGACGGAGCGATCTGATGACTGTCAGACATGACTTGGCAGAGCAGCCACCGCAAGCTGGACCTTCCAGTTAACCCCTTCTTGATCTGCACGCTCTCTTACCACAGGAATCTAGTTTTGCTTCTAAAAACAAACAGCAATGGTGAATCCAAGTGCGAGAGACTGTGCCAGGAAGCACCTGCTCTCACCGTTAAGCGTTCACTGTTTCTAGTTTGGCTTTGTCTCATTTTAACACCCAGGTTTTGGGTCCCTTTCTATCCCCGTCAGCTAGGCTGAAGAGCCTCTGCTCTTAAATCTCCCTTTACCAGACCAGAGAGGAAAGGGGTTAGACAAGAACCACGAGGAAGACTGAAATATCTGAAGATCTGCTCTACCAAGACTTGAGCACCAACCCGCTCCAGCTGCTGATACCAGCACAGGACCCGCTGTGTGTGACAATTAGAGCTCTTAGAACAACTTTTTTTTTTTTAAATAAGGAATTCAGAATGATATATTCTGCCCTCTGCCTCCTCCATAACTCATGAACCACTCAAAACCCCCAACCCCCTCTGGGTGATGACTGGGAGAAACTGGATATCTACGACTAAAGTCTAATTCTCTCCTCAGACACAGTATCGTGGTCCTTGGAAGAAACTCATGCCACTCCCCAGTTTTCAGCAGGGGCTAATTCCCCAAAGTCACCACAAACCCGTGATCCCCATCAGGTCAAAAGAATTAACCTCCCTCTATGAAAACACAAAGGTTGCGGTTACCTATAACACAAAACCTGTAACTGCCCATTTCTCGCAGTCCAGAAGCAGGGAGACAGGAGGATCTCCAGGCACGTGTACCAACTGCCCGACTGCGAGACGGTTGTAATCTCCTTACCCTCTAAATCCGGGAAGGAGGTAAGGAAAACATCTCAAGGATGGACAATAAGCAGCTGCTGATTTCAGTTCCAAGCTACAGACCACCCTACAGCTCGTGTTGTGCAGCTCCGCGGTATTTTGGCCATCAAAAACAATGGCATCCACCATCTGCTATGCACAGCGCTGGGCAGAGGCACGAGAGCTGAGGATCCAGGACGCCTGCGACCTGATCTCACCTTTCCCATAGCCACAGCCTCAGTATTTGTTTCATATCACCCCCTAGGAAAAACCTGAAATAACTGGAAGATAAATCTCAAGAGGGCTGAGAGTCCAGCCATTCACCCGAGGCAGATTTTGAAGAGGCAGGCTCTTTAGTGAAAGTCTGAGGAAATTTTGGAATCTCAATTCCTCGTTTCTTCTGCTCATAAAACAGCGCAGTAACAACTGGCGGGGAGTAGAAAAGCCCCGCCTGATCAAATGCCTCGATAACTGTACATAAAACTTTTGACGACAGCCTAAGTTACAAGCAGGCAGAGCCAAAGCCACACGATGACACTCAGCGTTTATCCCACGTGGGATAAAGTGAAATGTTAAACTGCTTTCAGATCCCCACCATGCAGCAGCCCCACCGTTAACGGTTCGTCAGCGACGTGCTCAGCCCAAAGAGCTGCCAGGATCTCAGGACAACACAAGCATACGGATTTTGTCCAATGGATGTGGATTTTGTGGAATCGCAGCACAGGGATAGGCACAGCCCTGCCTGCACCTCCTTACCAGCTGCCTCCTTGCGATGCCCTCCCTGCCCCTCTCAGCCAGCCCCAAAAGCTGTTGCCGGCCGAACTGAAAAACAGGAATTTCACTTTTGAGGGTCAGAGACTTCGGATCTTCCACATTTTTACAGGGAAGAGGTTTCCCATCTGCTGCTGGCACTGAACTAAGGCGCTCACAAGTGCAACGGTTCACTGTTTGCTAACTAACTTGCTTTAAGTCTCGCTTATCACGATGGAAGAGACTCACAGGAGGATGCCAGGCTCGCTTCTTCAGACAGGGGCTCAGCCAGCCTGGTCCAGTGTGTACACATACTCCTTGGCGTTCTTCAAAGCCTGCCCAGAAAAACACCTCTCTGGCATAAAAAGCCACCAGTGAATATCTTAAAATATAACAAGCAGCAACTCACGAGTGACTGATTCGTGGTTTAAGACACAGATCAGTGGATTTGAGGTTGAATCCTCCTGTCATCCCACTGTACCCGCTCTTCGACAGCAACACACAGCGCAGGGAGGATGCAGAAGCTCTTACTGCGCTTCAGGCAGACGGTCTCACCTCGCTCGCACAGCTCAGCTGTACACGAGGGAAGCTCCACAACTTGACCCTGCCAGTAAACTTCCCAAATACAACCTTCAGCACCTGAGAATTTTTAAGCTAAACTACCAAATCTTGAGGAAAAGCACCAAAAACGCCCCGACTGCACCAGCTGACCATCTTGTCCTCCCCGTGCTGCTGCTCCCACAGCGCCGGCAGCGCTGCCAGCTGTGCACATGCAGATCTGCTCTACAAGCAGAAGGCAAGCTCACGAGCACGAAGTGCAGGCAACGGCGAAGAGCCATGGCAAAGCCCAGGACAGCAGTGCCGTTACGGCGCTGCAGTAAGGTGGCACGCACGCCATGGCGGACGCACTGGCCACGCTCCGGCTGTGCAGAAGCAGGCAAGTCCTTGCTCCCAATTCCAGCTTTCCGAGCAGATTTTTTTTTTTTTTAGCTTTGTAATTTTTCATCTCCAGCATGGAGACAGCGAGAACCTCGATTAAAGCCCTTTACCTCACATAGCTTCAATTCCCCCAGAGCAACACAGGCTACTAATTATCTCAGTGTGGAATTTCGCACGGCGCAGCACCAAGGTGACAGGCAGAAGTCGCTGCCAAGAGAGGACGTTACCCGCACTGCCGGCGTCCGAGGGCACCCCGAGCAGCCCCATGTAGAGTCAGGGAATGAATTAACAGCAAAAAAGCTTCGCAGGTGCCGAGGGGCCCAGCTGGTGTTTCCAGGGCCCCTCTTCAGCTGCGCCAGCTTTGGGGACCCCGTCTGGAAACAGGCGCTTTGGCCACTTCAGGGATGCAAAGTCCTTCAGCCAGGGCCGTCCCTGAGCACCTCGGTGTGCAATTACCACCCATGTCCCAAACCGCCGTTTCCTCGCACAGCTCTAAGGCTGTTCCTCAGCCTCCCCGCCATCA